GCTACTGTTAACTCTACCATCAATACTAATGCTATAGTTTATTGATTTCTTACTATATTCCTGGCACAATGCACATTACATACTTTCTTTATGATACCCACTAGCAAAGCAGTTATAATGTCTTATGCTTTAATCTTCAGAAGCCTGAATCATTATTGCTGATGCCCTCTTCCCTTCCTCAAAGGAGAATGAGACATACAAATACAAAAACAGTATATAGACAATATGTAACCACCTCTAATAATCTATTCCACTAGGTTGATAGAAAATCAAATCCACCAAGTAGTGAACTTACAATTTAGCCATTGGAGTCAACCTTCTTCTCCATGAGTTTTCATGAGCTAGGTCATGAAAAAGAACAGTCTCCTGACTGAAGCATTATCTTCTTTTTCCTTCTGTGTCTGCCATTTGGGGAAAAAGTCTCACAAGCTGTAACTATGGACAAATGCTGGGCTGTCTGGCCCTGATCATCAAATCAGTCTCTTTAGGATGTCATGTTAGGTGGTGTGACAGGCAAGGAAAGTAACATCACCTTAAACCTTCTGCCATTTCTTCTTTCTACCCAATAGTTCCAACACACTTTACATGAGCCAAACCGGACACTGTTTTCCTTTCTAGAGAGCAGCTGAGGCTTGCTAGAATTTTCTCCAATCTCACTGGTAAGCTTTTGTACCCCTAATTTTACCAATACATAGGCACATTCTTTTCTTGCTTAAAAGCAGGAGACTTCTGAAGTCCTTTTTTTTTTTTTTAATTTCTGTTGGAGGGTTTTATCCTTTCCCTCTTTATGACCTCTTCATTTTTCTTAATAGAACTTCCCTCACACATTTTCCTCTTACATTTTTCTGAAATGTTCTGTTAATTCTATTTGCCTTTATTTCCATTTCAGATACATTACACTGGACATAACGGGATCTTGAAATGTTGCATACAAATAAATTAACTTAAAGGGCACTAAGGAATCTTATCTCATCCCAACCCTGGAATCATTTGTACTATGAACTGTCTTCTAAATTGAGCAAGCATTCGCAAAGGAGAACTACAAAAAGAAATACAAGAAGAAACAAGACATGGATGGAATCTTGAAGAAACAAGGTACTTTCAAACCAATTGATGTTATTTGCTGTTTCCTTTTTGATTTCTTTGATTAGCTCTACAAGCCAACAATTTTCATGGCACTTGCTAAGTTTTTTTTTTTTTTTTTTTAATTTATTTATGTATTTTGAGAGAGATAGAGATGGCATGAGCAGGGGTTGGGGAGAGAGAGAGAAGGAAAAAGAGAATCCCAAGCAGGCTCCGTGCTGCCAGTGTGGAGCCCAATAAAGGACTTGAATTCATGAACTGTGAGGTTATGACCTGAGCCAAAACCAAGAAGAGTTGTTTGTGTAACCGACTGAGCCACCCAGATGCCCTGCACTTGTTAAGTTTTAACAATCCAACTTTCTTGGAGCACCTGGGTGTTTCAGTTGGTTAAGCGTCCGACTCTTGATCTCAGCTTAGGTCATGAACTAATGGTTCATGAGTTCAAGCCCTGCATCTGGCTCTGCGGTGACAGCAGTGGGGCCTGCTTGGGGCTCTCTCTCTCTCCTCTCTCTCTGTTCCTACCCTACTTGTGCTCTCTCTCAAAATAAATAAATAAACTTAAAAAAAATCCAAACTATTTTCACCCTCTGCATCCTTCTAATGCTATAAATAAAATAAGCCATTGTCTTTTGGGAAGAAAGATGTACTGGAAAGAGTATGGTGCCTAAGGTTTGAGGCACCTGTGTCACCATCCCAAGTAACTTCACATTTCAAGGTCTCTCTTCCTTGTTTGAAAAATGGCAATCGACATTTATTGAAAAAATTAAATCTCTTTTACTAACTTTTCTTCCTTAGTTTATTGGAAGGGTCTCTCCTTGGACTTCCTCAATCTTGAAGTCTCTATTTATGGACAGAGGCATAGGGCAGGGGGGTTATCTTTGCATTTTGGGTACTATTATCTTTGGATCCTGGCAACGTTGCTTCACCTTGTAACCTCAGCCATGGAGTCTTTTCATAAAGTGCTACAAGGCATCAAAAATATTATTAAAGCACATTACAATTGCTTTGTTTTAAAATTTTTCTAGGAATTTCACAATTAAAGATAATTGGAGGTACACTGCTGGGGGTAGGGTGAGCTGAGACTAGTGACCATCATTCCACAATGTTCCTAAAGTTTTCTTATATAAATGAAAAATTTGATTGAAGTCTCTATACAAACAACTCCATGTCTCAACATCTCTGCCTGATGTTTTACTCAATAAAGGATGTTTAACTTTCCTTCTGCATATTACTGTAAAAGAGATGTAAATTAAGATTCTAATCTTAATAATCTTTTATAGGCATTTACTTAGCAATGTATTACAATGCAGACCATATCACTGGAGTTGTTAATATTAGGTCATCTGCTACATAAACTGTAGGTATCTCTATTCTACAGGTGGGGAAATCTGCAAGTTGACCAAGTTAATACAGAAAACCCAGAAGGGGGGTGCCTGGGTGGCTCAGTCAGTTAAACATCTGACTCTTGATTTTGGCTCAGGTCATGATTTCACAGTTGGTGAGTTTGAGCCTTATATCGGTCTCTATACTGACATCTCAGAGACTACTTGACATTCTCTCTCTCTCTCTCTCTCTCTCTCTCTCCCCCACCCTCACTTTCTGCCCCACCCCCACTTGTGCTTTATCTCTCTCTCTCTCTCAAAATAAACTTAAAAAAAAAAGAAAACCCAGAATTAAATTCAGATTTAAATAAATTAGAACCACCTTCCATACTTGAGTTTCCCCATCTGTAAAATGAGAATAAAAATAACACCAACCTCACAAGATTATTGTGGAGGTTCAATAAGCAGCTCTTATTACAGTGCCTGGTATATACCAAGAGTTTCATAAATATTAGCTGAAAAAGGATAAATCACCTCCTTTTCAGGGATATTATCAGAATTGTTGGACAGCCTTGCTTTCCTATTCCCCTGACTCATCACTGAAAGATTGATCTGATTAAAATGAGATCTCATACCTTCCTTATATTAGGTGACTTTATGCCACCTATCATCTTTGACATACTAAGTGTTCTCATAATTATTGTCTTCTCCAACAGTTTTCACTTCTTGAGGATGAAGATTGGGTCTTAACATTTCTTTATATTCACTACAGTGACCAGCACAATATCTTGAACATAAAAGCTGTTCAATACATTCTTGTATTTAAAAAAATCATTGTTTCCATTAACAAAGAGCACTACAAGATTCGAAGAATAAAGGGCACTGGACAAATCTTCTTTGGGATTTGGCTTTCTTTTTACATGGGTCTGCACAAATGTACACGTAGAAGTTGAGAACAGTGCTGAGTATAATTACAAAGATGACAGATAACTGGCCAGAGAACAAAGCAGGTATATTAATACAAAAATAAGTCCACACTTGAGAAATAATGTGCAACATCTACTATACTGAGAGGACTGTTCTCCCATAAAAATCTTACATATGCTTTAGAACTTTTTTCACCCTAGAACTCATTTTAACACGATCCAGAGCTTGCCAGAATTTGGAAATTGACCGTCCTATGTATTCATTATGACATTAAAGAAACAAGACACATCAACAAAGAATGTTGCAGACTCTCATAGAGCCTTTATGCCTAACAAAGTACTGGTAATGACTGAGGATTTTACATTACAATGGGGAAGGAGAGTGCGGCTCTTAGCCACTAAGGTTGTACGCTGGGCAGAGAAACAGCGCTCTATCATTTCTAGTTAATGGGCAATGAGAATATAATGTTTGTCCAAGTGGAAGTGGATATAATGTTAAGAGCCAGAGGTGCAAAGGCAAGAAGCACAGAGTTTGGAGCCAGTCACTTGTAACTCACTATCTCTGTGAAAGCAGGGAGGTTTCCATATCTGTAAAGTAAGAATACTAATAGCCACTCCACCAACTTTTTAAAGACTTATACAGGATCACAAAATATACTCAAAGGCCAGGTACATGGTAGAGGGTTGGCAAAGCCTTTTATCTATACATAAGGAATTATAACACTTATCCAGAGTTAAGGGATAAAAATTAATTTTGTCCTGTTCTGAGGACATACTGGGAAAAGTCTTTTTGTATGCTTCTGGGTTACAAAGTTTAAGATGTCCATCTAAATTTTTTTAAACGTTTATTTAGTTTTGAGAGACAGAGAGAGACAGAGCATGAGCTGGGGAGGGTCAGAGAGAGAGGGAGACACAGAATCTGAAGCAGGCTCCAGGCTCTGAGCTAGCCGTCAGCACAGAGCCCGATGCGGGGCTCAAACCCGAACCGTGAGATCATGCCCTGAAGCCGACGTGGGACGCTTAACTGACTGAGCCACCCAGGCGCCCCTTAAGATGTCCATCTAATCAAGCAGATACTTAATCTCTTACAATGCTCACACTTAGTGCGCCCTAATCACCTGAGAAGGGCCTTCCTAAAGACAATCCACAGATGAGGAAATTGAGTGAGGCGGGTGGCTAGCCTGTGGGCTGGGCTTGCCCTTCCACGAGTAGCTAACGGGGCCAGGTAGGGACTCCAGGTGTGTCTTTGGGAAAGGACTGCCAATGATGGGAAACTACAACGACCATGCGAGACACTTAGGACTCCGCAATACTTTAGAAAAGGCCCATTTATCTAGCCCGAGTCACGCCAAGACCGGCCCCCGAGTGGTGCCCTCAACCCTTTCCCCAGACGCCAGTCCTCTCTGCCCCACGCACCCACTATTCTGCGTCTCGGGAGGCTCAGTCTGAGCGCCCTCTCCCCTCCTTCTGGCGGAACCCCAACTTGGCACCCTCAAATGCACATCAGCGCCCAGAGAGTGAGGACCTTGACGAGGAGAGCCCCCCAGCCCCACACAAGCCCTCCCCCGGGAGAGGCGAGGCACAGAAGCCAGGACATTCATACACCCAGCCAGGCCCGTGTCGCGGGGTCCCCGGCGCCCCCATCCCACTCGAGCCCCTGGTCACTCACCGCGCGTCGCCGGTCTGCGGGCGGGGGCTGGGGCTGGCGAGGCCCCCGCGGCCCCGGCGCTCGGGGCGCACGTGTTGCTCTGGCTGTAGCTCCGAGCGTCCGGGTGCCAGCGCGCGCCCTCCCGCCGCCGCGTCCGCCGCGCGCCGCTGGTCGACCCCCGGGGGCGGGGGCGGGGGCGGGGGCGGCGGCGCCGGGGCGCGCGGCCGGGGAGGCGGGAGGGGCACGCGCGGCTGCACGCCTCCGCGGCCCGACGCTCTGCGCCGCGGGCGCCTGCGGTTTCCCGGCCGCGCTCCCGGCCCGCCAGGACCCGCTTCTGCCCCGCGTGGGCTCCCAGTGTCGCCTTGAGCAAGGTGGTTATCGCTCGGCAGCTGCCTTCCCCCCGACACAAAATGCGGACGGCAAAGCCTTGGCTTCTAAGATCGAGCGAGCCTTGACGGAGTTGGTGCGGTGAATTGTGTGCGAGGTATGACGAGCTCGACAAAACCGTGCCCTCGGCTTGCCCAGCCGCAAGGAGTCACTTTGTTGATGCATGTTAGAGTGAGAACTTTCCTCCGAGATGGCCTTCCTCTGCGCGCTCAGCGCTGCCCCTCTCACCGCACGCTCGTGCCAGGCTCCCACCCTGGGCTGTGCGAAAATACTAGAACACTTAGCTGGCGTGACACCGACCCTGAGTGGTCCGGGGTTCGATATGTCCTAAGTGGGGTTCTGAGGGAAGGGGGAAAACTGCACACAAATGCAGACGGAATGACTTATGACAGTATTTCACTGAATCTATGAATTCATCGACTATACCACCTACCATTTCTTAGGTACCGGTAAGAGATAAGAATTGTCACATAAGCTATGTCACCTGCTTTCTTATCACTTAACATCTTTTGATTAAATTTATATTTATTGAAATATCCCTTTTTAGATTTATTTAGAAATATATGCTTGTATTATCTAACACTCTTGTTCATTCACAAAAGGAGAAGGGGAATAGAAGCAGAATAAATTGGTTAAGATAATCTTCAGGTACATTCACATCGAGTTGAACGCTCCCCCTCACCTTTCTGTTTCACCCAGTCTCATCCTCAGTGACAGAAGAGTTTTAATAAGGCAGCATTTCTTAACAGTGTCTCACTGTTGTCTCTGGGGTGTTCTTCCAGGCGGCCAAAGCCAACCTAGGTTAGCTGAGCATGTTCGGAGCCAACCATGTCCCCATCCTGTGTGGGCAGTAGGCATAAGACTCCCAATTGTTGGAAACATTAAATATAAAAATGTACACCTTAGAAACAACAACATACCCTCGCTTGTTTTTATCAGACGGTGATGTATGGTGGTTTACACACTTCAGCATTTGTCTCCATACATAATGGATAAAACCGAACATTTTAAATTGTAGAATCTTAACATTACTGTATAGTGAGATGGTGAAGGGTGTGGAAATCATTTGCAACAAAGTCAAGAGTTATCTTAAAACAGAGTTATTTTTTATCTTTTTCACCAAAAAAGGCAAATATTCTAAATTTGCTGATATGTTCTGGAATGTTATGCATCTATCAGTAGTATGTTACTGAATATATTTTTCTGAAAAAGAAAAATCACAGGCTTTTTTGTCCCTTCAAGGTAAAGATAATATTTTAACACTGAGTGAGAAAGTGCTGTGAAGAGAACATTTGAAAACAAGTACAGTATTTCAAAATGTTGCTGTAATTGTGTGGAGGTGGGGGTGGATTGGTAAAATTATGTTTGTCACCTACAAAAAATGTACTAGCCTTGGAAACAATTTGCTATCTTGTTTCAATGTTTCAGTTGAGTAATTCAGTAAATTTTAAACCATTTTTTAAAAAATAGGAAAATGTAGCTTTTGATTAGTTTGAAAGTAAAACTAATCAATATAGAGATCATAAAATTATGGTAACCAAATTTTAATAAACTTGTACAGTTCATAGATTAGCTTATTTTTCCATTTTTTTCCTGAAAAGAAAGCCTTTTATTTTGTTAATAACTCATTCCAAAATTTATTTTATACTTTATTTCACTTTAAAGTTTAATTTCTATTTTTGTGTACATCTTACTATATATAGTAAATATATATTTACCATGCATATTTATTTACCATGCATATTTATGTATTTATATAATTTGTAAGTAAGTGAAAAAAACAACTGAACATATATTGACAATGTATTTTCTAATCTCCTTTTTCCTTAAGGAGTGCATAATCTAAAACGTTCTAATCGTAGCATGTTACAAAATTGCTAAGCCAGATATGATATGGTGTTCCAAATTCACCTGACCCATTTTCTTTAGGAGAATGGATGAAGGTATTGGAGAAAGGACTTGAATCTTACTGTTAAGCCTGCAAAACAAATTATGAGACTATAATAAGATGCAGGTAACAATAGCCTTCCTTATTCTTTTTTTTTTCCTAGATGCAAATAAACATGACCAATAAACATGACCATAAAGATGACCAATCTTACATAAATATTATTATAGAAGTTATCATCAAAGTCCATCTAAGTCTATTACGTCATTCAATTAGGGTTAAATATTGAGGGAAGACTTGTGCTAATAGCTTTTTTTTTTTATTTTTTTTTAATGTTTTATTTATTTCTAGGAGAGAGAGAGAGAAAGAGAGACAGTGTGAGCAGGAGAGGGTCAGAGAGAGAAGGAGTCACAGACTCTGAAACAGGCTCCAGGCTCTGAGCTGGCAGTCAGCACAGAGCCTGACGCGGGGCTCGAACCCTCGAACCGCGAGATCATGACCTAAGCGAAAGTCGGACGCTTAACCGACTAAGCCACCCAGGTGCCCCTTGTGCTAATAGCTTTTGATAACACCAGCTCTCTCATCCTTCATGCGTCCTCTCTGTATTGTAAGCTCCATGAATGCAAGAACCACATGTATATTCTTTTTTCTTTCATTGCCAGCACCTGGCACAATGAGTGGCACGTGGGAGGTACTCTACAAATGTTTATGGAGCTGAATTGACTTCTTCTGGAAGATCTCACTCTCTTTGGTCAATGAAGTTTATAGGCATTCAATCTTTAAAACTTTCAAGTTGAAAGAAAAGTAGTTGGAAAATTATATGTAGTTTTTGTCAGCAACCCAGTGACTCTTCCATATGGAATCTGCCCTTCTGTTAGAAACCTTTTGTTTTTCTTTTTTAACTTATTTATTTGATAGACTGTAGAGGCCTTTGTATTTCTTTCTTCCTTTCTTTTCCTTTTCCTCCTTCTTCTCTTAGTATATGGGAGTTTCCTTAGTAGGTGCATGTCTGTTAGTGGCTGCCTGTCTAGTTAGAGGGAAAAAAAAAATCTTGCTTCTGTGTTTCTGAGAATAAGCCCTATATAGTGGAGAATGCCTAATGAAGCAAGAGCCTAACATACAAACCAAAATATCAACCTATGACTGTTAATATGATTAAGTCTATGGGTGTGAAATGGCCTTCTGTAAGGCTGTAGTGAGATGAATGTACTTGCAAATCAAAAGCTCAATTAAGTGAATAACCACAGTGATAGTGACAAAGACTTTTCTAGGAAATACTAGTTCAGTTTCCATTTCTGGTATGTTTCCACTCATTTACATGTCTATTTTGTTTCATTGTTGATACCAAAAGTCCTAAAAGTATTTAACCCACACTGTGCTATGACAATTGTGTGTCATTTGTCAGACTAAGTATAAAGACAGAGTGATTTAGTGCATCAGGTAGATGCTGGCACCATTTAAGCTTGGTAAGAAAGTTTGATGATATATTTTAACCTTTTACTTTAATAAGATCAGAATCTAAGATTAATTATTCATCGCTGCTGCTTCAACTTCACAAAAATTTCATTTTAAAAAGTTTTCACTTAATTGTTAGCTTCATTCATCTGTTCAAATGTTACACTTACAGGACACCAATATAACTCCTACCTATACTTGTAGTGTCATATGTTTTTTACTTTTAATGCTTATTCATTTTTGAGAGACAGAGAAATGGAGTGTGAGTGGGGGAGGGGCAGAGAGAGAGAGGGAGACACAGAATCTGAAGCAGGCTTAAGACTCTGAGCTGTCAGCAGAGAGCCCAACACAGGACTCAAACTCACAGACCATGAGATCCTGACCTGAGCCAAAGTTGGATGCTTAACTGACTGAGCCACCCAGGTTCCCCTGTAATGTCATATGTTGAAAGGCTTATATAAAATACAATCCCCAATGATTCTTAAAATGCAGAGTTGTAACTTTTCCACAACTGACATTTAGCAAGCACAGATGCTGTTTACAGATGAATAAACCACATGGAAAATGCCATGTCTTGGATAAGAGCAATGCATTTTCAGGAGGTCTCTAGGTTGCCCATAGGCCTTATTAAATGAAAGTAAAGGTTAAAGAGTACAATGAGACATTAGCAAATTTAAAACACTGACAGCTACAGGGTCCCAAACATTAAATATTTGATTCATAGTCTGGCTAAACATTTTCAACAGCTATATCTAAGAGACATAGGAGTTATAGGATTCACAGTTTCCATAATAGAATAGCTTGTAACCATGTCATCAGAGGCAGAACTGATGTTTTCTAGGTTCTTATAAAGAGAAGAATGGTTCACAAAAAAGACAAATTTCTCAGGAATATTTCTACATAAAACCACACATACATTCCTTTCGTTAGTAGTTAGTTATAGAGTTCTTCAATAAAAGCCTAATGAAGAACACTCTGGAATGTGGATGCTGGTGAGCATTGACATTCTGTTCTGTATTTCATTACTTGAGGTTCCAAACATGCCTTTGCTCCATGCTTCCCATATATAGAAGATCATCTCTGACTTCTCAAGAGAGACAGCCCAAATCCTGTCCTGTCACTGCATCCAGTTCAGAGCCAAGCCCTCTGGGTAGTGAGCAACAGTGACTACCTAGTGGAATAGGACCCCTCTGCCTGTAATCCCAAAACACATGTTACCTGTACCCCATACCCCACCCATAATGTAAAGTGCTGGAACAGGAACAGAGAATGCTCCCTTTTGACAAGGAGAAACATGTGAGATGCCAGAAGTAACTGGTCTGAAGCACTAGTGTCT